AAACAAAGAATAAAAAGTTATGTTTGTAAGGCAAAAAAGCAGTTTTCACTAGGCTATTATTAGCGTCTTTAAAGAATGTTTATGTAGTCATTAAAGCAGTGTAATTATTTTAACAGAGACAGCATTTAAAACAAAAACAAGACAAGAGTTTTACCCCAGTGCAAAACAAAGCAGATCTGGATACAGATGTCTTACCGATGATTCGACAACTCACTCGAAGAGCTTGAAAAGCATTCGCTTCAAACCAGGAATGTGAATACTGACCCCTGAGAGTCTCCAGATCCAGTGCAAACGCTCCCTGTGTGCACTGTTGTGTGGCCCCGGGCCCCAGCTCCGGCTGATGTTCCGGCTGTGTTTTGATAAAGATCGGGGAAGCACATTTAGGAATGTTACTAAGGCGAAGGCTTGGCTCATGAATATTAAGTAGCTTGCGCTGACGTTGTTTGTATCCGTCCTGCGGCGTCCAATCGCTCAGCCTAATTAATATCCAAGAGGAAACATTTCAGCAAATCAGCAAGGCCGACCGGACGGAAGTATTAATATGCATGAGGCAAGCCTTTCCCGTAGCAGGATTCGTACAGTCGTGCTGTGGAGTTAACCGATGAGAGCCACGTCGCTACATGTGGCATATTTTGGGAAGCACTGAATAGCCGTTACTTTTCTCACCGTTCGCAGAGCGCATCATCTATTCATTGGTTATCGCATTATCGAGTGTAAATAACGCAATGCATATTTGCAGTGTAGCTACATCAGTCACAGGAGTGTGTCTGTGTGGATGAAGTGTGATGGAGAAAATGCAAGCTCAAGCTCATCATCATCACTCAGCCCCGTTTAAACTGCATTAAGGGTTGCGCAAATAGCAATCAACAGTAATTTTGGAAAATATTTAGAAAAATAATGCAGGCTAGAGTAACATGAAGACTCAGCAGCCTAATCAGTCTTACCAGAATTTAGAGAGCCGGGCCTGTTCATGACCATTACTGAACATCTGAACATAAACAACCAAAACACTGATTATATACTGTACTGTACATGCATTACATGATTATTTAATGTTTTTTTTACAATTTAATATGTCTGTATGTATATATATATATATATATATTAAAAAGTGCATATCTTGTAAAATAATAGACTTATTTAATAAAAGATGCTTTATTTTACATGGTGCGGGCGGGCCATCATGTCAAAGACACATAACCTACTGAAAATGAATCATGGCTGATTGCAAACAATGCATTTCTATGGAATTGCAGAGGAAGGCTTTGTGAAAATCAGAAAATGTGTTGCATCGAACATAGAAAACTACATATCGCGTAAACTGAAAGCAATCTTAGTTTTTGTGAGTTCTTTGTGACCTGCTGAATGCACTTGGATTATGAATTCATGTCCCCTTTAAATACAAATTAAAACTCTTTTTATATGCAGTGATGTTGAAAGTAATTTTGTAGGATGAATTTGCACTTTTGACCTCTGCTGTTTACTTTAATGTCACCCCAACACATCTAGCCAACCAATTACATGTCTTATGATATTGACATGTTTTTATTATTATTATTATTTTAACATAGAATGCTACATGACATGCAGCCACTTGTAGTGCACTTTACACCAAAAACAATAAATACAAACAGTAAATACAAACATTAATTATTTACTTTAAAACCAGACATTTCACAGTGAGCTTAATCTTTTAAATGCAGCATGCTTGGCAGCAATTTGAATTAAAAAGCTAAAAAATAAAAAAATGCTAAATTAAGATTAATATTTACAATTACAATCTTCTTCAGGTCACCCACCGGTTACAACATTCACATATAACTTACAGGGTCTCAAAAGATCAATACAAATATTCATGTTAAGTGAGAGTTCTTCTCGCTTAGATTTTTTTATTTATTTTTTTAAATCATGTGGATGTTGGATATCAAAATAAAATCCACTAAAGACACAGAGAAGACACGTTTATATGGTTATAGCCAGAGATTTCTCACAATGCTGTTCCAAACTTCATCAATGATGGTGTCAACATTTTGTAATAAATTGTTAATCTGATAATAAAGTTAAGAAATATAATCCATTAGATACACCGCTGTTTAAACGTTTGGGCTCTGTAAGATTTTTTTTATTGTTATCGAAATAATTTTTTTTTAATGGTCACCAACCTGCATTTATTTGATCAAAAACACAGTAAAAACAGAAATACTGTGAAATATTTTTAGAATTATTATTTTAACCTCTCTTCTATTTTTCAAAAAAATGTTTTTAAATGTAATTCAGCAGCATT